ATTTGTGTATCTTCTCTGTGTGCAATATCTCAATAAGAATTTATAAGCTACAGCAACACATAAAACAACACTATGCATTTTGCAAGAAATTCTGCATATTTAAGGACATATGTGGGGGCAGCAAGGCAAAAAAAAAAAAGCACATATATCAAAAACACTGGAGAGGGTTTCAGCGTGGTCAAAATTGAGTAGGGGTGGGGGAAAATAATATAAACAAGAAAGAGTTCTTGCAGACTAAATCTTGACCATGTGCTATGAACTGAGACGTGGGGTTAACCTAATACCCTGTACTTTAGTGCATGAAAAATAAATGCAAATTTTAATTTAGACAACTAAATAACCGAATGAACTATAGTGTTCACACACTATGGACTATTTTGCAGCTGTTAGAAAATAAGAGAGAGATCTGAATATACCAGTCAAGTCTGTCCAAGAGCTAAAGCTGCAAAGTGCTAGGTTTGTGTTCCGTGCCTTCCTGTCCTGCCACCTCAAAATAGTCCCTCGGATTTTCTCTGGGTTCATAACCACGTCTTTAAATGCATATTGCAGTTCTGAAAGACACACCCAAACCAGAGGGAACTGAGATGGGGGGGGGTGTCAAAAAGGAACTTTAGTCTTCTCTGTAATGCTTTCATTTCCGATAAGAAGAATCTATTCATGGAATTTACAATGAATGAATTTTGTATTAAAGGTAGTAGTAAAAGCTGGCTCAAACAGGCCTGGAACTTTCTGGGCTTTAGGGTCACTTAAGATTTTTCAAGTCAAGCCATGGGGCCATCTGTTGCTTGGTGAAAATCGAGGCGTGGGGAGTTGGGAGACATGTCCCCACCTGGTGTTCCCCATCTGGCTGCATGACCTTGGGAGGGTCCCATCCCCTTTCCTGACCTCAATGTCCTCATCTGCCCAATGGGAATCAGCTTTCTACGTTACTCCGGGATGTGGGAGGATGCAGTGAGGGCGCGAGGAGAATCGCATGAATGTAAGGGATTATTCTCTGGGTCAGGGGAGGAGAGGGCGCGGAGGGACGCCTCTCCTCCACCTGCCAACGACACAAAGTGCAGGGAGGAGCTGGGGACCACCCAGGCGAGGGAACAGGCCATCTGCTGGAGAGGAGCACGCTGTCAGCAGCTGGGGGCTGGGCCTGGACTCCTCACAGGCCGGAGCTGGTAGAGCAGCCACCCAGGCTGTGGGAGAATCAGGACATTGGCCCGGCCTCTCTCGCTGCTCTCTCCCAGCCCCGGTGTGGCCACAGCTTGTCACCTCCCCACGCCTCCATCATCACCCTCCCGCCCCCAACACACCCACACGCGACCCCAAGGACTGCACCACACTCACACCTTCTAGCCCATCCCATCTCCAGAGCCACATGGGGACACAGAGGGGACTTTCACAAGGTCACCCCCATCACATCAGTGCTCGCTCAAAACCCTCCAGTGGGATCTAAGGACAAAATCCAATCTCCTACCTCGGTCAACAAGGTCCAGCATGGTCTGCGGCTCCCACTCCCCACTTTAAGAGCCTGGGCTCAGGGAGATTCTGCCTTAGTTACAATTCCCACTCTTGGACTGGAGTGTGGCTCATGCCTGTAATCCTAGCATTTTGGGAGACTAAGGAGAGAGCATCGCTTGAGGTCAGGAGTTCGAGACCAGCCTGAGCAAGAATGAGACTTCATCTCTACAGAAAAAAAGAGAGAATTCCATCTCTTCTCATTCATTCAAAAATGTTTAGCAAGCACCTACCACGGGCCAGGCACTGTTCTAGATGCTCGGGATACAACAGTGAACAAATGAAACAAAGATTCCTGCCCTCATGGAGCCTCCTTTCCAGCAGAGGGAGATGAGCAACTACAATTGAGTGAATTCCATAGCATGCTGGGAGGAGACAAAAGTTATGAAAAAAAGAAAAGAAAAACGGAGCAGAGGAAATTGGTCAGGAGTTGCAGGAGAGGCAGGGAGGACCTCACTGAGAAGGAGACCTTTAAGAGAAGACCTGTAGGAGGTGAGGGAGGGCCAGGCACACATCAGGGGAAATTGCAGGCAGAGGGAGCCGCCAGTGCAAGGGCCCTGCGGTGGGACCTTGTTGGGGGAACAGCAAGGAGGTGGGAAATGACTCAGCGAGGCAGGACAGGTCATGTAGGGCCCCGTGGGCCCCTGCAAGGAATTTGGCTTTTACTGAGTGAGATGAGAGCCTTGGAGGATTTCGACCATAAGGGAGAGGGGGCAGGGCGCAGTACTGGGAAAGACAGGAAGGCGTGATCTCAGCCACGCTGTGTGCATGGCAGCTTCAGCCTGACCCCGCAGGGGACTCCGGAGTGTGAGTTATACCTCAGTTATCCACGCACACCCCGCCCGCACCCCGGGCAAGGGAGATGGGCTTCCACCCCCTCGACCATGGGTTACAGCTCAGAGGGTGGGTGAGCCCCCCTCAAGAAGCCCCAGGAGCCTAAGGATTATCACCTCTAAGGAGAGATGGGGGTGCTGGCCATTAAATGGAATCCCTGAAAAGGGGCCTGAAGGGAATGGGTGTGGCATTGTTCTTGTTGGTTCCAGTCCCCTGGGCTTGGGGTGGCTAAACTTGGGGGGCATGCCCCAGTGCGACCAGGTAGAGGTCTTCTGTTAGAAAAGATGCAGGGATCACCCCACCCAGAGCTGAAATCTCCTCTGCAATATCCTGACCCTGTGGCGGTCCAGCCTCAACTTACCTACTTCTTGTGATGGGGAACTAGTTCCCCTTGAGTTAACTCTGTGTGTCTTTGGATACTGTGGATTTTAGAAAGTAAAAGTCCACTCATTTATTCCATAAGCACTGACCGAGCATCTATTGTATGCCGGGCACCACTCCAGGTGCTGGAGATACGACAGTGGGCAGGACAGACAAGGTCCCCGCCCTGAGGAGTTCATGACTAGAGAGGGAACTGTCTAGAGAAAAAACGTAGTAGAGTAAGTGCAGAGACGAGGGTCGCCTGGGAAGCCATGGGGGCCGAGAGGGGCCTCTTGACCCTTGGGAGAGGTGACACTGAGCTGAGGAGTGGGGGCCATGTAGCAGTTACACAGGTATAAAGGCGTGGGAGAAAATTAAGCCAGGCCGATGGAGGAGTGTGTGCAAAGGCTCTGAGGGCCCCATTGCTGGCCAGCTCCCCCACGGCTACCCCTCAGTCCCGTGACCGTCTTGTCTGGATAATTGTAGCAGCCTCCTCTTAGGTCTCCCACACGTGGGCAAAGAAGCTGGGGTATGCAGTCACTAACTCCTTTCTTTTCTTGGTAGGAGCTCACACTTGTGGGCGTTAACTCACTGGCATTCCTCACTCAACCTGCATCCGGGAGCAGGAAGAAGCAGGAAGCCAGCGGCATATGCAATAGTGTCTGCAGGTGACTCCTAATCGATTTTGGCTGGGACATCAACAGTGCCTTCCACAACCCTGTACACTCAATGCCTTCTTCCCCTCCCTGACCTCGTCTCCTACCCTCTCCCCCTTGCTCACTCTGTTCCACCTACCCTGGCTGTTCCCTCTGCCGCACTCCCCAGATACCCACACGGCTCACCGTCTCACCTCCTTTCCACCGTGGCTCAAGTGCCACCTGCTCAGGGAAGCCCTCTCTGACCATGTCAGCTCCTCCGTCATCCCCTCTCCACTTTGCCCTGTGCAATTTTCTTTATAAGCATTTTTACCACCTGACATGACACATTTACTTGTTCGTGTGTTGATTGTCCCTCCCACCAGTCTGGGAGTTTCTCAGGATAGGGACCACGTTTGGTTTTGCTCCTGGCAGAATCCCTATTACAGGGCCTGGGAAGTCAATAAATATTTGCTGGAACCTAAGTGATCTCCAAGAGTCTTTCAGGTTCTGACCATCTCAAAGTCTTGAGTACGACTGTGACTCACCCCCTGCCAACACTTCCAGTGGCCAGGGGTGGCCTCTAAGGGCCAATCACCACCAAGAAGCTGCTAATGTGGGAGCCTCTCTCTGCTCATTCCCATTCAGGCCTACCTGATGGGGGTCAGAGGTCAACCTGGTCTAGCCCTCTTTGGGTCCTAAGGAGGAGATGTAGTACAGGGGTTCAGGCCCCAGGGATGCCTGGTGAGCCCTATTTCTCCTTTGGCGAATGGCCGCCTTCTCTTCACAGGGCCTGTGTCTGCGTTTCTGAACCAGAAGGTGTTTACACAAAACATCCTGGGTTTGGCGACAAATTCACCCTCAATGAGGAATCCTTAATGAATCTCCCTCCTTCCCCACACCAGGCGGCTGCAGGGAAAATTAGCTGACGGCAGCCAAATGCCAGGCAAAGAGGAGGTGCTGATGAGCCTGGTGGGGCCACAATGTGGGGGAGGGATTTTTAGGGTCCAGAGGCAGCCGTGCTATGGACACCAGAGCCCTGCTGCACTCTCCTGGCTTGCGATGCGATGAGGCACTGCCCTTTTCCTGGCCTCAGTCTGCACCTGCGAAATGGGACAATAATAATCTCTTCCACACAAGTATTGCTTTGAAATTCAGGTAAGTAAGACCAAGAGTGTGAAAGGGCTTGGTTATAAGAGGCCGAAAGGGGAAAATAAAAAGATGGGATTGGCGGGGAAGGAGGTCAGAGTTCTAGAATCAGTTCTGCCGTTGACTTTTCAAAGGCCTTGCCTCTCTCTGAGCCTTGGTTTTTCGAACTATACAATGAGGGGTTTGGGCATGAAGATCTCCAGGGAACCCTCTGGTTCAGATGGACAGCCATTTTCCACCTGCCTGCCTCCTCTTAGAAGTCCTCCTGGCCCTACAGCCCACACAGACTTGCTTTTCTGACCTAGCACTGCACTGCCCACTGCCCAGAGTCTTCAGCCTCTTCCTTAGGTACAGGTCAACTGCTCTGGATGTGGGCCCAACACCCATGGGCTCGAGTGAACACTGGCCAAACTGAATTAAAAATGATTCTTGCCTCCTTCCGATCCTGTGGAGAGACAATGGGGGCGGGGATTTTTATTCATTCCTCATTTTATAATTTGAAAACTGAAGATGTCAGAGGTTAAATATAAGTCACACTGCCACATGGGCCTTCTTGTGTTCTTTAAACAGGGAAAGAATGATTTCTATTTCTCCACTACTAATCACTAATGCCTGCCGCAGTATATAATTATTTGTTTTGTCATTAATTGTCGTTGTTTCCTACTAGGATGAAGTTCCACGAGGGCAGGGATTTTGTTTTGTTCACTGCTGCATCCTCAGCCCCTAAAACTGCCCGGCACATAGTAGGTGCTCAAGAAATATATGAAGGGCAGGACGAGGGGGCAAGAGGCCCCGTTGCGGACCGCGCTCTCTGAGCCTGCAGGGGGCGCGCTAGACACGCCTCCAAAGCTAGGCCCCGCCTCTCGCTTCCGGCCGTCGCTTGTGCGTTGGAGCCTGCGCGCCACCGTCCTTCTTTCAATTGCGCAGGCGCGCCGGAAGCGCTGTCAGAGCGACGCGTGCGCCGTGGGAGCCGGAGCGGGGCCGGAGCGGACCTTGAGCTGGGTCGTGTCAGAACCGCAGCCGGACTCGAGGGGCGCCATGCTGTCACCGGAGGCAGAGCGGGTGCTGCAGTACCTGGTCGAGGTGGAGGAGCTGGCCGAGGAGGTGCTGGCGGACAAGCGGCAGGTGGGAGGCCCGTCCGCGGCGCAGGGGCCTGGCGGCGAGCCGTAGGGCAGTGCGCGGGGTCGCAGTGAGTTGACCTGGGCTGGTGGTTTAACGGCTCCGAGACGACAGACGTGGGGCATTTGTGGGATAACTTGGGCCAAACGCTTGACGCGACGCAGCGCGTCACTCGTTCGGCTGGTATTGAGAGCTTGCTCTGTGCTGGGTATTCCCTCTCCATCCTTTCTCTGCCCCTTACCGGGCTCTTCGGATCCCGACCCTGGGCAGTTTTCCTGAGCATCTGTTTGAAAATGCAGTTTCCGGGCCCCCTCATTGATCTGGATGCACCGGCCAGTCAAGGCCCTCGGGGGAGAAGAGGAACAGAAAATAGACCCGAGGGGGCCTGTGACTGGGCAGGGATGAGGACGTGGGGGAAGATGGGGCCCTGTTTATGGAAGACCTTGTGTAGTGTTTGGGTCAGGTTCTAATTTAAATACCAAGTCTTTGAAGGGAATTCATGAGGGAGGGAAGTAAAGAGAGGGTGATATAATTGCATTTAGGTTTTGAAAGGATCCCTTTGGCTGCTGGGTGGAGGAGGGAGATGGGTGAGGGGCCATTGCTATGGTCCAGATGAGAGGTGGGTTTGGATCCGGTGGTGGTGATGGAGAGAAGTGAATGGGTCAGAAATATATTTTGGAGATGGACTTAGTATGTTGTGATAATGGTTAAATAAAGGGGTGAGGGAGCAGGGGTCAAGAATGATTCATGACTCTTTGTCATCTCCAGGTAGAATGCTGGGGTGGTCAGTTAGGTTCTGAGAGAGGGAAGAGCCTATCAAATGTACTACTGGGTTAAGGTGTGCTGCATGGGAATCACAGGAACAGTTAAGGTTTATCAGGTATCTGTCGTGTATCAGGTACTGTGTTAACTCATTTAATTTCTAGTTTAATAACCTGTGTGAGGTCGGTACTGCTTCTGTCTCTGCTTTTCAAAGGAGTAAACAGGCAGGTGAAATGACACAGCTTATAGCTGGCAGCAGGGTTCAAACCTGGGCATTCCAGCTACAGAGCCAGCACTCTCAAGCCGCATACTGTACTGCCTCCTCACTTCCTTGGTAGCTATTGCGTTGTTGCCAACATCTCAGTGCCTCTACCTCTGCTGTTCCAGTCTGGTGTTGTTGGGTTTTTCATAATACTAGGTCAGAGTCACCTGGAGAAGTTAGTTCAAAAATAGAGCTTCTTAGGTCTATTTAATCACAAGGAGTTTCCACTTTCCCAGTAATTCTGATATGCCCTAAAGTTTGAGTAGATAATACAAAATTACCCATTTAGTCAGCAGACATTTTTGAAGTACCTTCTCTGGGGGAAAGGCACCTGCACAAAGCATTGTCTTTAAGGACTCAGAAGCTGAGTGGGAGAAGAAATAGATTCACACATCAGTCCATTTTAGGTGGGACATTGTAAGTAACCTAGGAATGATGCCTTGTCTCTTCAACCCCTTGTCTGTCAAGAGGTGACAGACTGGGGCAAGAGGCAGCTGAATTTCTTCCTGTCCCTGTGGTTTTCAGATTGTGGACCTGGACACTAAAAGGAATCAGAACCGAGAGGGCCTGAGGGCTCTGCAGAAGGATCTTAGCCTCTCTGGTAAGTTGAAACTTCCCCACTGCAGCCCTGGAGGCCTGTTGTTCAATCACCTTGTCCCTGATAGAGACCAGGCAGAAGGCCACAAATGAGTGACTCAGCTTTGTGGGAAATTGAAACAGCCTGTGGAGATGGGGGAGCAAATGTTGCAGGTCTGACACAGGCTGTGGCTCGGGATTTCAGCTGCTCACTTCTGTGACAGGCTGTTAGTTCCCAGTTCCTTGACGATGACAGACACTGAGAGAGTGCTGGGGGTATATAAAAACGACATTTCCTGCCCTTGTGCTCTTCAGATGAGACAAACTGTAAAATAGATCATTGAAAACTGAGAAAGCTACAGACAGAATTGGACGTGGGATAGGTCTTGGGTGTTGAGAATACCCAGGAGATGCCCTTTAGATGAGGCCAAGCGTCTGTGGCAGAGCAGACACGTGGGAGAGTAAGCATGGCTGGAGAGAGCCGCAGAGACCAGCCTGTAATGAAGGGCCTTGGGGGCCAAGAGAGGAAGTTTGTGTTTTGTTGAGAGTGCACCCAAATGTTGCTTCCAGTTGCTTCTTACCTTACTGGCATAAAATCCAGAGTCCTGCAAGATTCCACGTAACCCAGGACCCCGTGAATGCTCCAATATCACCTTCTCTACTCCCCCTCTATTCATGACTCCACCCTCACTGGTCTCCTTACTGTTCCTAACACCTCAAGCTCACTGCTGATGTTTGCCGTTCCCTGTTTCCTCTGTCTTGCTCATACTTTTACCTTCAGGTCTCTGTCCAGATGTCACATAATCAGTGAGGCCTTCTCAGATTCCTTGGTATAAGTAATAAGTTCCTCCTTGACTTTAGCATTCCCTGCCTTGTTTTTCTCTGCAGCTCTTAATCAAGGTCTGACAAATCACATCTTTGTTTATTTATTATCTTACTCTATAATATAAACTCCATGAGGGCGGGAACTTTGTCTTTTTCTGCTGTGTTCTCTCAGCATCTAAAACAATGCCTAGCAGTTGGTAGGTGCTCAAAAAAATATTTGTTGAAGGAATGACCATTTGCTCTTTCAGAAGATGTGATGGTTTGCTTTGGGAACATGTTCATCAGGATGCCTCACCCTCAGACAAAGGAGATGATTGAGAAAGGTAAGGCCTCCTGGGTGGTAGGGATATGGCTGCCTCTGTCACAGCTCTGGTCTTAAACCAGAACTGAGAGTCAGGCTTTGGGCAGCTTGATGAGAGGTGACGGTGTTACAGGGTTCAGACTGATGTGGGTTATTTTTGTCATCTCTAAAAGGGGGATGCGTTTACATAGCACAGTTGTTATGAAGTTGAGATAAAACAGTATGTACGCCTGGCATAGTACTTGTTTATCAGTGAGGAATGAGTTGGGCTGCAAATAACAGAAAACCTAAAAAATTGAGGCTTAAGGACATAGGGTTCTATTTTTCTGATGTAAGGAGTGGTCCAGAGTGTGCAGTCCAAGGGTGCCTCAGGAGTGGCACCTTAGCATATTCTCATAGTTACAGTGTCATCATGCAAGCCTCATGTCCTCGTCCCAGGCTGGAAGAAAGGCAAAAGGCTTTCTCCACATATGGCCTTGCCTTCTATTTTGGCAATAAGGCCATCATCCCTGGGACTTCCTGCCAATATCCCATTGGCCAGAACTAAGTCACATGGCCACCTATAGCTGCAAAGGACCCTGGGAGAGTGAGCTTTTCTTTTTCACATCCCCTGCAAAAGAGACTGGGTTTGAAGGTTTGAGGAGAGTAAACCTACAGGGTCTGCATGTATTCAAAATTCTAGAGCCAGGATCCTGGAAGTTCTTTGGAGAAGCACCATAAGAGAAAAAAAAGTCAGGCTACAAATGGGTCCTTGGCTGGGAAGGGGGCAGGTCATGCATATTTTCTCTTTTATACCCTTGAAAACATTTGGCCAAGAGGACCAGCAGGGTTGCTTCAGTCCCTAAAGACAGGGTGTCTCTATACCTATTGAAATCAAAATGTTAGCAGAGGAAACTAGATCTAGCCTGCAGAAGTTTTTTGCTGCTCAGTTGAAAATCACACGCTAATACTATATAGTTGTAAAATTAAAAGTTGTCATTGTGGCCGGGCGCTGTGGCTCACGCCTGTAATCCTAGCTCTTGGGAGGACGAGGCGGGCGGATTGCTCAAGGTCAGGAGTTCAAAACCAGCCTGAGCAAGAGCGAGACCCCGTCTCTACTATAAATAGAAAGAAATTAATTGGCCAACTGATATATATATAAAAAATTAGCCGGGCATGGTGGCGCATGCCTATAGTCCCAGCTACTCGGGAGGCTGAGGCAGAAGGATCACTCGAGCCCAGGAGTTTGAGGTTGCTGTGAGCTAGGCTGACGCCACGGCACTCACTCTAGCCTGGACAACAAAGCGAGACTCTGTCTCAAAAAAAAAAAAAAAAAAAAAAAAAAGTTGTCATTGTGCTTGGAAGTGGGCTGGAAGCTGCTTCAATCAAGTTTTCAGAGTGGTCACCTGCCTGGGTTGAGGTTGTGGACTTTGGCTCTGTTGGCCCAGTGACAGTGACAAAATATGGTTTTGTCATTGTACCTAGCAGGGCTCTGGAACATCATCAGGGTTTTCAGGGATTGACACAGGCTACATAACCTTATGAGGCACTGGGGTTACTCATTTACAATGAGAAATAGAACCACTGCCCAGGTTACAACTTGGGCAGTCAGGGATTCTCCCCATCACAAAGAATGAAAGTCTGTGGGAAAAACAGACCAGCCAGAATGTCATTTGAGAGCAGGTGGAGTTGGTTGGTTGACCTTAGTTGATTGATCACCAAGCTTTGATAACTGTCTCTGTCATCATGCCAACTCTTCTCAGGGGCTGTCCGTGACTCTAGGAAACCTTTTTTGTTTACAGTGGCTAATTAGATTAAGCTTGAGCATTAGGCTCACCCATTGATTATTTAGGTCACATGTTTCCACACACGCTCTTTTCTAAAAATTCCTTACCTTGATGTACTTAGGTTTGTAAAATTCCTCAGCAATCCCTTTTCCAACCATCTAGGTTGGGCCAGGTCTATAGGTGCTTCATTTTGTTTTTGCATTTGCATTTTCCATACATTCTGAATTTAGAGGGTGGTCTAAATCATGGTGTTGCCTTCCCCTTCCACTGACCACAAAAGGTCAGTGACCTGGAAGTCAGGGGAGTAGTGTGTCCTGGCTGTCTGAGTGGTCTTGAGCGGGTCATGTCCTTTCTATCCTTTAGTCCTTCCTCCATTGGTCTCTGAGGTCCCCTTTTCCTTCCCGAATGCTAAGTGCCCTTGCTCTCGGGGGGATGGGGAGAGGCTGGTGTCTGTATTCCCTGGGTCAGTCAGACCGTGGTATAACCTCAACCTCTCTTTGCCCACCTCATTTCTTCAGATCAGGATCATCTGGATAAAGAAATAGAAAAACTTCGGACACAACTTAAAGTGAAGGTCAACCGCCTCTTTGAGGCCCAAGGTATGGGCCTGGGGGGAGCTGGAAACCAGGAGGCAGGGGGCCATCAGCACAGACTTTGCAGGGTGGGGTGGGAAGCTCCTCAGAGGCGGGCAGTGGCCTGGGCAGCACGTGAGTGGCCCTGGAGGTACAGAGGGTGGCTGTTTGTAGCTTCCCAGAGATAGAATGGGCAGGGAGGTTTGTAGCATCTTATTCTTACACAGCTTCTTTGCCAGGTCCCAGGAACTGTCTGGGGTGGGGACCAGCATAGCTCTGACTAAGGAAACGCAGAAGGCCTCAGTCAGGTGGTCAAGGTCAGAGCTGAAATTCTGGATAAACCCAAGCACTCCAGATTGGTCACAGGTGTGGCAAAAATCTGGGGGTCTCTGGACAACAGAGCCAGGACTTTGGGGGTTCACGGTGACCCAGGAGTGGGTAGTGATACCTCATCTGGTGCACTGCAGAATTTGAGACCCACGCCCGTCAACCTCAAGGCGGGTTTGGCAGCGTTAATGCAGCGTCAGCCCCTTTCCTGGGCCTGACTCCAGAGCTAGCGGGAGCCCGACTTGCTGACGGATCGTCTTCTTCCCTAGGCAAACCGGAGCTGAAGGGTTTTAACCTGACCCCCCTCAACCAGGATGAGCTTAAAGCTCTCAAGATCATCCTGAAAGGATGAGACTCAAGAAGCAAGATGGGGGACCAAGACCAGCATCGCCTCTGGGGTCATGGAGGACCCAGGACCTTCTAAGCTTGAAACCTGCAAAGATAGCCTCTGCCCTCAGGCGTCAGGAATCTGGCCGTGACTCCTGTACGAAGCCTCGTGTGCGCCTTGCTTGGCTGCTCTGTGATGGCAGGAGGGAGGCCTCGGCCTGCCGGTGTCTGCCGGACCTGACCACCAAGGCTTAGTGCACACAGGACCTATTGACAGGCCGCGGCGGCCACCAGTGGGTGTGTGGGGCAGCACCTGCGGGGGCGTGAGAATGACTGCAACAGGCACTTCTCAACAATGGCCTGCTGTTGACAGGGCCCTGGCAGGGGAGAATGGAGAGGGGCGGAGCGGGATGTCATGCCAGCGTCCCTCTTGGAAAAGAGATGTTTTCAGGCAGGTGTAGCGGAACTGGTAGAAAGCAAGAAGCTCACGAGTGGTTTGTGAATGCAAGACAGACTCTTGGTGCCTTTTGTTCACCACAGCCGTCCGTGTGGCAGACACGCATTTCCACCACTGCCTCCAGTCTTGCCCTTTCTTCCTGCTTGCTTCCAGGAGTATGTGCTGCTTATCAACCCATGGTCCTCTTTACTCAGGAGGGCCTTGCAGAGTCCTGCACTGGGATGGGTGAGCGGGGCGGCGCTTAACATGCCACGTGTCAGGCATGCCCCTCCACCACCTCTGAAAGCAGGGCCTGGCCAGCGCTGCTCAGAGTCCCGTCTGCCTCAGTGGTCTGAGGTCCTAGTGTGAATGTGCCGTGAGGACAAAACTGTCTTGGTGTTCCTTGAGGTCTCAATAAATGTCAGCTGAATGAAATAGCAGCTTCTGGTCTTTACTTCATTGAGGGCAAACTGCTCCTTTTAGAATGCCACTGCTTAACGGGTGGCGGTTCTTGCCTTGAACTGGCATTAGACAGGCAGGTAACAAGTAGCAGCGTGCTAAGGGCACACCTCGCCTGTTCCCCCACTCCACGTGGCTCTGGCCCATAGTTATATAGGAACACAGGCTGGTATGGCCAGATCTTAAGTTTTTTTAAAGAGAAACTAGAAATTTGGATTAAGTTAAATCTCCTATCTTTTAAACAATGCTGACTAATTGAGAAAATGTTTAAAAATGTGGGTGTTGGTCAAATAAAACACCTTACATAAGCCAAATTTGGCCCAGACCTCCAGGTTTGCATCTTGAGCTTTACAGAAGTTTCTGTGTGTTTTCCCCATGATAGCCCTAAGAAGAAGGGAATTAGAATTGGAAACAAACTAAATGCCCATCCACAAGGGAATAGTTAAAAGGAATCAATAGCTCCAGATAGTGGAATGCCACACGTCTATAATTGAGAATAAAGGACAAGCTCCAAGATACATTCAGTGAGAAAAGCAAGGGGCAAAACAGGTGTCTTAAAGCTCATGGTTTGTGTATGAACACGTGGCTCCCTCAGAACAGCAACCTTGGAGTTGGGGCACGAGGGCAGGAAAGGAGATGCCACTATACACCTTTTTGTGAACTAAGGATTTTAAACCATATGATTATATTGCTTATTTTATAATGTAAATTAAGTGGGAAGTTGCAAAATTCACCCTGGTAGATACTCTGGTATGACTGCCTGGCTCACAATTTCACTATTGGGATGTTGTCCCTTCCCACCTGGCTGGGTGGCTGCTAGCCCAAAGAGAGGGCTAGCTCTCTTTCTCATGGAAATACAGAACCTCCAGCTGGTGCCTGGGGCTGTCCTTGCTTCCTCACAAGGATAGAGGAAAGAAGTCCTCTAGCTCTGGAGGCAGAAGGTCCAGAGTCGGTTGGCTTCTGGCCTTCCTAAAGCTGGCTCCTTCACTTCTTGCATTTGCCAGGATTTTTTTTCTGAAAACCTTCCCTTTGGGCCTAAGATAGGCTGTCAGATTCTGCCATTTGTAGCCAGAATAACTGCCCTGAAGCAAGGAGAATGAGGGAGTAGGTCCCCCATGGAGCCATCAGCCTACCATTGTTGCACGCCCCTCTCCCCCCTTTTTTAAGAGACAAGGTCTCACTCTGTCGCCCAGGCTGGAGGGCAGTGGTGCGATCATAGCTCACTGCTGCCTCCTACTCCTGGGCTCAAGCAATCTTGCCTCAGCCTCCTGAGTAGCTGGGACGATAGGCGGGCACCACCACACCTGGCCCCTGCAATCCCTCTTAAACCAAGAGGAGGCTTAGAAATGTAGGAATGTGAAAAATGCAGAAATATTTACTTGGACCCAACTCTCCAAGTGATCTTGCCCATGAGCCCAAGGCTTTGGGGTTTGAAAGGCTTACCTCCCAACCTCAAACAGGAAGGGCCAGAGAGGCACCTAGGTCACTCAGCTGACTTAGATAAATGCATCATTGCAGAGACCCTCACTAAGCAGCTTCCTGATTTTTACCTTGTCCACCTGAGAATGGGGACGCTCTGGCCCACTGGTTCCCCTGATGTGCGAGGAGGAGAGGATGTATTTAGGGCTCAGCACTTCCCCAGAGCCCCAGTAAACACACAATCTAGTAACTGCTTTGCAAGCGCAGCTTAAAGACATGTTGCTTAGCCTCTGACCTCTTGTTCCTGAAGGACCCTTTCAGCACTAACCTGAGAGACGTCCAAGTATCAAAGCCAGGAGGACTTGGCTGCAGCCAACAGCATCCTCTGAGCCAGGCCTGTGCTCATTTATTAGGCGTGATCTCTCTGGGCTAGCAGAACTTGCTGCATTTGTCCTCTTTGGGCCCAATAGCCAAGCCAATCTGTCAAGGTTAAAACTCATCCAGTCCTGGGGATTGGCTGTCTCTTGGTGCAAAGATGCCTAGGGATGGTGTGGAGGAACCCAGGGGCCAATCCAAGCAGCAAGCAGCCGCTGCTGAGCCAGCAAAGCTGCTGCCAGGTTGGAGGGAGGGAGGCGAATGCTGTGAGGTGCTGCTGTGCTGGAATCGGGGGTGAGGAGAGGCTTGGGTGGCACCTCCCAGGGTTGCTTTCCTCCCCGTAGCCGGGGATCAACCGGAAGCTTTCTTCTGGACTTGAAGGGAGCAGAACAGCTGCCTCAGCTGTTTTTTCCGATCGTTGACACAGCCTGGAAGGGAAGGAGTATTGGCTGGGATGACCTATCCTTTGAGGAGTGGAGGGGCCTGTGCCCCCACTACCTGGTGGGAGCAGGGGCCAGCAGGAGCCCTGCAGCTGTGCATGGCCTGTGGCTTGCATCCTGGCTCCGTTCCTGAACTGCATGGCCCTCGAGCAGGTCATTTACCCTCGTGAGCATCACTTCTCTCATCAGTAAACCAGGATACTTCCTGCCTTATGGAGGGAGCATGAGGATTCATCAACAAAGGCTAACATTGGTTGGGGGCTTCTCTGAAACTGGGGACTGCTTCAGGTGCTCAAGACAGAGGAACTTGTTGAGCCCTCATGGGAATAGGTGTACAAGGCAGAATGGGCTCAGAGAGGTTAAGTCATTTGAACCCAGGCTACCAGGTGCCAGAGTCACACCCTTAACCACGATTGCACTCTGCCTTTCCTCCTGGCTTTGCTCAGTGCAAACGCATTTAAAGCACAGTGCCTGGTACCTAATAGGTGCCCAGTAATGTCAGCTTTCCTCTAGTACCCAGCCCACGTGCCAGGCATAATTGGCTAAGAGATGCATTATCCCCACAAGTGGCTCCTGGTCTCAGGGAAGCGTGTCCCAGGCAAGCCATGGCCAGGGGCTGCCGTGAGCCACTGAGATGCCTCCCCTCCCAGCACGTTCACAATGTCAACCTGTTTGCTGTCTTCTGTCAGAGCTGATCCTTGAGGCAACTCCACGGTCACTTAATATTGTGCCAGGCACACTGATGGCACTCAAAAATGCTACTTGAATGACAGAATCTGTGTCTACAGTACTGACCTGGAGGTGTCTGCCACCTTTCTTAGCACCCCAAACCCTGTCCCTGCTTCCCAGGCACTCACCAGCCATCAAGGCTCCACTGAGCAGACAGCCCACTACGCGCATCCTCAGGGTTTCCCAAAGTGAGTTCCCCGGAGCCCTGGCTTTGTATCTGGCTCAGTCATAACTCCCAAGTCTTCATGTCCAGTGCAAACCTCTTCCGGGGCTTCTAGACTCACCTCTGACCTCTCCACCTGGATGACCCTGAGCACCTCCCTAGCTCAATTCATCAGTCCTCCTCCTACTCCAACCAGCCCCTCCTGCGTTTCCCACCATCCACCCAAACACGTGACTGGAAACTTGGGAATAATTCTAGAGACCTCTAAAGCAGAGGCTCTCAAACTGGGCTGCATATGAGAGTCACTTGGGAGCTTTAAAAAATACTGATTCCCTGAACCAGCCATATTGTTCTTTCAGTGTAGGCGTCAGTGTACTTTAAAGCCCCTGTGTGATTCCAATATGCAGCCAAGGGGCAGAATCACTGTCTACACCTTTGCTACTGAGCAGGCATGGGGAACTAGCAGCACTGACATCTGAGGTGCATTTTTAGCAAAGATTGCTGCAACGGTTCCATTCCCACATGCATGCCTCTCTGCAAATGACTTGGCCGTTTTTCTCATCAAGAGGTAGAGTCTGTTTCCTTATCTGGTGACTGGGCTGGACTAGCAGATTGCTTTGATTGATGGATTATAGCAGAATGATATTATGGGACTTCTGAGCCTAGGCCTCAAAAGGCTTTGCAACGTCTTTTCTTGCCTCCTGGAACCCCGAATCTACCATCTGAAGAAGCCAGGGCTAGGTGGCTGTAGGATGAGGGGCCACGTGGAACGAGAGGCCCAGCTGACAGCCAGTGTCAACCCCCACATGCGTGAAAGAGGCTATTGTAGGCCATCAAGTCTCAGTAACTCTGCCAGGTGCCTGCAGCCCTGTGAGTGACCCCAGGAGAGACCGGAAGAATCATGAGCAAATGAAATAGTCGTTTTAAGCTGCTGCATTTGGGGAGGGTTCGTTACCCAGCAATAGTCAACCAACAGAGCATCACCCAGGAGCTTGCTAGAAATGCAATCTTGGGCCCCACCCTAGACTTACTGAATCACAATCTTTAATAAGATTTCCAAGTGATCATATGCACATTAAAGCTTGAAAAGTGTTATATAGTCATCCAAAACCTTACAAATTTAGAAAACTGTAAACAACCCATAGAAAGATAGAAAAAAAGTCAGGATAGCTTACAAAAGAAATGCAAATTTTAAAAACTGAAACCTCACCAGTAATCAATGGAATGCACATAAAATTACAATAAGTTAGTACTTTGTACCTGGCAAGTTGGCACAGATTTTTTTAAATTAAAAACTGGCAAATTCATATCATCTTTCTGGAAAGCAACTTGGTTGTAGTAAGCCCATTCCTTTGACCCAGTTATTCTACTTCTAGGAATCTGTCGTAAGGAAACAGCCAGCATTTCAGTTAAGCTTTATATGAGAGGATGTTCATCATGGCATTATTTATAAAAGTAAAAAATTGCAGTTGTGCCAAATTATAAGAAATTGGTTTAGTAAATTTTGGCACATACATGAGCTGAAATATGGTAAAATTTTGTTTTTAACTCTGCCAAGAAGCAAGAGAGTCTAGCGGTCAAGTGTTCAGGTTTTGGAATAAGACAGACTGGAGCTCAAGTCCGGCTCACCTCTTGTGCCCAAGACTTTCAGCAAGTTATATAACACCTGGAGCCCATTTATTGTCATCTGTAAAATGACAAAAAAACTGCCTAAAGATAAAATGAAATAATGTATGTAAAACATTTCATCCAGACCTGGCCAAAAAGTACTTCCAAAAGGGAGGCTTTTATTAATATTCTTGAATGGAAAATGCCACGTGGAAAAGTGGGACTGGAAACTCCAGCCCAATGCCAA